CGGGCGGGGCCCACCCCTCAGGGCAGGGCAGGGCTTGCTGGGCAGGGCGTCTCCCGCTGCCCACCCACAGCCCCTGGACGGCCCTCCCTGCAGGTGGCCATCGAGTTCGATGAGCACATCAACGTGGCCTTCAGCTGCGTGTCGGCCAGCTGCCGCATCGTGCATGAGTACATCGGGGGCTACATCTTCCTGTCCACGCGGGAGAAGGCCCGAGGGGAGGAGCTGGATGAGGACCTCTTCCTGCAGCTCACGGGAGGCCACGAGGCCTTCTGAGGCCCCTCTTACTGCCTTCGTGTGGCTCACCAGCTGCTATGGCCACTTCCAAGCTCACAGCCACTGGGACGACCTGCTGCCCACACCCTCTGCAGACACGCACCAAGCTGGGCACATCACCTACTAACTCTGGCTTTGTGTCAGCCAGACACCCAGCTGGGCCAGACTGCCATCCTGCAGGCTAGGGCCGGGGGCCCGCCTGACCACAGAGCCCACCTCTCTCGTCCCAGTGGCCGAGACCAACAGCCTCACCTCACTGTAGTCCCCAACGCAAGAGAAAGACCCACTGTAGCTACAGCGTGACAACTGGTGGTTTCAAATGGACTGCTGTTTGTCAACTTTTTACATCTCCTTTTCTTTTTTAAATACATATGTTATGGTTGGGCCACGCTTCCTCCTCTGGAACTGTGCCCGGGCTACTTGGACACTCTGTCTCTTCATTACCAGCCAAGGAGAGGGGCTTCCCTGAGACAGACATAAGAGTCGGTTAAAGAGAGAGGCCTAAGTCAGCCTGGGGTTGGGGAGCACGGAAGGACGGAGGACGCAGGGCTCGGGCACAGGCATGGGGCGGAACGGCGGTTCTCACGGGTAGGGCGCAGCTGCAGGGCTTCCTTGAAGTACTTGGGAAGCAGGAAGCCATCAGCATTCCCGGGAGTCAGGATCACCCCGTTGGCAGAGCGGAAGAAGGAGATTCCATCTGCAGGCAGAGTTGGGGGTGTGACTCACTCCTGCTCCGACAGACTCGGGCCATCCCCGCTGCGTCCAGACCCACCTGCCAGGGCCAGGGGCCCATCGATGAACACGGCCACGTCGCAGTTCGGCCGCATGCCTGTGGAGACAGCCGGACCTGAAGCCTGTGGTACCCAGTTTGCAGCCACCAAACCTGGGCAGACTGAGGGCCTGGGCTCAGGGGAGGGGGTGCATAAAGGGCAAGGGGTGGCAATGACCCTCAGAGGTAGTCCCGGGGGGACAGAGTGGGTGGGAGTAGCGGGTGGGGGGCACTGACCACTGATGACACCGGGGTCCCCAGGCAGTCCCGGGGCCAGGTGGATGTGCATCCTTCCCTGGCGGGACAGGCCCTTGAGCAGGATGGACGGCCAGTGCTGCCGAAACGTGCCATGCACGAGCGTCCCGGGCAAGGCCTGGGGGGTCTCCAAGGGCGTCAGCTCCAGCTCAGGCACCTGGGATATGTGGGAGAAAGGGCAGCAGTGACAGCCCCTCAAGAGCAGGGGTCCCCTCCGTCTCCCATGTGTCCCCAGCTCCCACCTGCAGAGAGTGGCCCTGATTGGCTCGGATGAGAGGGCCGGTGCTGGGGTCCCCTTGCTGCAGGGTGAACCGCTGCTTCCCATTGGTGTCCACCACACGCTGCACATCTTCAGCTGAGAATCTGTGGAACTGGGGCAGCTGTAGGAGGGCGCCCAGGGGCACGAAGCCGTCTGCAGGAAGGTGGGTGCTCAGGAGCTAAACTCCGGGCCAGTTAACAGCAGAGCCACAGGAGACCAGAACAGAGCCTGGGCATGTGGGGCACCTTCAGAGGACCCCCCCTCCTGAGCCTCAGTTTCGTCAGTTTACATGGAAAAGGCCCTGCATCATGATAGTCAGGCCCAGAGCTGCCCACCACCCTGCCCTCTCCGCCAAGTGCTCACTGGGTCACCTGGCTGGAGGGGTGTAGCTAGACAGCGGGTCCTGTCCCAGTGGGCCCCAGACGTGACACTGGGCTCTGGGCAACCATCTCTGGGCTCGGTCTTCCCTGTACACAGGGAGAATGTGCCCTCCATGCTGTCCCCATGGGGTAGTGGTGGGAGTGGGGGTGGAGGGGAGGTTTCACGGGCTCACACTGCCCCCTGGGGTGGGGCCACTCCTCCCCCAGCCTACAAGACCCTCACTCACCAGCCCCCATGGGGAGCCCCAGCTTCAGGGCCCCATGGCGCAGGGCATAGGACAGAGCCTTGGACAGATGCACATCTTGGTCCTGAAAGAGCCCAGAAGTAGCCCCTAGTGGCGGTGGTGATGCTACCCTGCTGCCCACCCTGACCACTGAGTGACCCCCTGAAGAGCGAGGCAAAGGGAGAGAGGTGCCTGTTCCCTCTGGGAACAGCGGGGCCCATCAGCCCCACTCTCACGGCGCAGCGTCTGTGGAGAGCAGGGCTCAGAGGCTCCCGCCTCCCCCGGGGGCCAGGGGTGGGCGAGCCGCGCACCTGTTCCCGGGGCCTGGGCGCCCTGCTTCCTCTGGTCCCCGCGGCCTCGGGCCTCCTTCCCCCGGAGTTCATGGCCAAGTCCTGCAGGGGGCAGTGGCTGTGCAGATGTTGAGGACCCTCTCGCCCCCACCCGACCAGGAGTCACAAAACCTCCGGGAAGTCAGAGCTTTGAGAGGGGTGTTCTCATTATTCACTTCCCACCCCCAACTCTCACGGCGCAGATTGGGAAACTGAGGCCCAGCAGACAAGACTTGCCAACGTCACACCGCGTGAGCCACGGGGCCGGGAAGACCGGACGCGCGTCCACGCTAAGCGGCGGGCAGAAGCAGCTTGGCTGGTAGGCGACCGCCGGCTCCCGACTCCCGCGGCCCGGAAGGCGACCCGCGAGCCGGTGCGGGACCGCCAACGAGGGCCGCGGAAGGCGGGGAGCACTTCCGCTCCGGGCAGGGGCGGAGCTGCGGGCGGGTGAGCGCCCGGCCCTGAGGGGCCCCGGGCGTCCGCGAGGAGGCAGGGGCCTGGGCTCGGAGAGGCGGACGTTGGGGAGTGACAGGCCCTAGGGCCGTTGGGCAATAGCAATGCCCGTTTGTCCCCGGGATGTCGGGTGGCGCAGGAGGCGTGGCCGCCCAGTGAGCTTGCGGCTCTGGACCGGATGAGACACTCCGCGGCTTAGGAGCAGTCGGTTCGCAGGGCGCGAAGGGTGGGGGCCTTCCGGAGATCTGCGGCCAGCTGCCGGTGCAAGGCGCCTGGGGTGACAGGCCTGGCCTTGCCTTTCCCCAGAGCTGCCCTCTTCAGGAAATGGACCCTGAGGTCTCCCTGCTGCTGCAGTGTCCCCCGGGCGGGCTGTCCGAGGAGCAGGTGCGGGCGGAGCTGAACGCCGCTTACGACCGCCGCCCCCTGCCTGGAGGCGATGAGCCCATTGCTGCCATCTGGGAGAGCCGGCGCCAGGCCCAGCCCTGGCTCTTTGATGCCCCCAAGTTCCGCCTGCACTCGGCCACTTTGACACCCGCCGGCCCATCAGGGCCACAGCTGCTTCTGCGCCTGGGCCTCACTTCCTACCGGGACTTCCTGGGCACCAACTGGGCCAGCTCAGCTGCTTGGCTGCAACAGCAGGGTGCTGCCCACTGGGGCGACAAGCAAGCCTACCTGGCAGACCCACTGGGGGTGGGTGCTGCCCTGGTCACCTCTGATGACTTCCTTGTCTTCCTGCGCCGCTCTCAGCAGGTGGCTGAGGCATCAGCGCTGGTGGATGTGCCTGGCGGACACCCTGAGCCTCAGGTGAGATGCCAGGCTGGACTGGAAGGTATGACCCACATGGCTCAGCCCCTCAGCCTCTCCACTGGCCCTTGGTCCTGACCAGGCAATGGGGTAGGTGAGCAGAGCACCTAGATGTTGTCCCTCTGGAAAAGGAGGGCCTGGGCCTGAGGGTCTCTGCGACTTGCTTTCTGTCCAGCGAGGCCCTCCGGGCCAGTGAGTAGGGAGAAAGGCAGGGTGGGGAGGGTGGGCAGGGGCTGAACCTGACTTCCCACAGGCCCTGTGCCCTGGTGACAGCCCCCTGCACGAAGACCTCCCTGGGGATTTGGTGGTGCACGAGCTGTTCTCCAGTGTGCTCCAGGAGATCTGTGATGAGGTGGGTGTGGGTATCCCACACAGGACTGGACAAGGAAGGAGGGGCAGAATATGCTAGAATCCCACAGGCCTGGGCTGGCGGGAAGGTCTCCGGGCATCTGGCGCTGAGATAAGGGCTTGGCTCTGCAGCTAGGCATGCTAGAGTGGATTTCTAGCCCTCAACTCCCTAGCCCTTTTCACAGCGGGAATGATACATGCTTTGCCTACTCCATGGATTTCTTGAAAAGAGGAGTAAATGGGAGTACTGATAACAACTCAGCTGGTGCGTGCACAGCCCCTGGGTGGTCCCTGGGACCACCAACCTGGGCACATTATTTAATCTCTCCGCCAACCATCTGTAAAATGGACATGCCCAAGATCTGACAGTCTGAGTCTGGCACTTCAACTATGAACTGTAACTGTTGTGCAAGGGTAAAGCACTGTTCTCCACCGAGGGGGCAGCGTTGTGTGTGATGGGCACTGACAGGCAGGACCCCTGCCCTAGGTGAACTTGCCACTGTTCACCCTGAGCCAGCCGCTACTGCTGGGCATCGCCCGCAATGAGACCAGTGCCGGCCGAGCCAGTGCCGAGTTCCAGGTCCGGTGAGTGAGCTCTGGGGGACAGGGCCATGGGTTCTGGAGTGGTTGGGTGATTGAGGGGCACGGCTGAGGCAGCACGGGCTCCTCAGGGACCACCCAGGGGATGTGCACTCACCAGGCTTCTCTCATGTCCTTGGCCAGGTGTAGCCTGACTTCTGAGCAGGTGAGGAAGCGCTACATGAGTGGGGGACCTGAGGCCCACGAGTCCACTGAGATTATCTTTGTGAAGACACAGGTGTGTGTTCGCAAGGCATGGTCTTGCTTGGGGAAGGAGCAGGGGCTGGGGCTTGCAGAGGCTTGGTGATGCATGTCCACTCCAGGAATAGGTCAGACGGGGCTCTAGAGCTCTCAGTGCTTTCCAGACTTGGGGCCTCAAGGCCTCCCTTAAGGGAGAGCCACCTGGCTCAGGCCCTTTAACATGTTTCCCCAGGGACAGTGCAATGAAGAGTGTTCTGAGGCTCAGTGACACTGGGCCCATTGCCTGCAGGAGACCTGAGAGCTGAATGTCACTGTCTCCTTACAGAGTGTACAAAGGTTGCAGGAGACTGAAATGTGGGCTGAGCTCTGCCCCTCGGCCAAAGGCGCCATCTTCCTCTATAACCTGGGCCAGGGAAGTCCACCTGAGTCGCCATAGTGTCCCCAACCCCATCACCAGTTTGGAAGGCAATAAAGGACTTTTTTTTCTTGGATTTCATTGGCATCTACAGTTTCCCTAAAAGAGAAGGGGGCCGCTGGGAGAACCATGGGTGAGTAAGACAGGACAAGTGCCCTGGAAGGGGGCAAGCTTCACCTCAGTTCTTCCCTATGCAATGATAGGGCTGCTCCCCACCCCCTCGCCCCCACCCCAGGCTCTGGGGAGGGTCGGGGAGACTGGGGAGGAAGCTGCCCAGCGAAACATGCCTTGTTGCAGAACGGGTTAAGAGCCATGTTAAGACAGGGCGCATCGGACTGGCCAATGACCTCTCCGGGGGTTTCGGCGCGAAGCCACCCACGTCCCTGCCCCTAGCGGGGTTTAAGTGTGTGGGTTTAAGTCTGCTTGGGGGGGCGGGGCCGAGGCGTTGAAGGCCAATGGGTGTGAGGGGGCGGGGCCCACTGCGGCGTCATGCGGTGGGCGTGGCTTGAAAGCTAGGCCAATGAGAGCGCGGGGCGGGGCCTGGATTGGTTCAGGAAATGGCGGCGGCAGCTGAGTCCGTGAGTGCGGCGGGGGCGGGGCTTGCTTGTGGCTCCTCCTTCTGCCCCCCAAGTTCCTGGGGTTGGTAGGGGTCTCTCGTGGCCCGGGGCAGGTTGTCCTGTCACTAGAGCTGTGTGGAGAAGGGCTGGGTACTCGGGTCAGAGGCGGGGATTGGTCCTGGACAGTGGGGGCTACCAGGTCCTGGGCACGGGCCCTCCACTCCCGCCCCCCTCCGCCTCGGGCCGGCTTCAGTTTTCCTGCGCAAGTAAACGGGGCCGCACCCCGTCCTCGGCTCCCGGAGTGCGGGATGAGCCTTCGTCCTGGTCCCCATGCACTCCTCTTCGTGGCCTCCTTTTCCCAGCCGTCCGCCTGCCGCCATGCTGCCCCGTTTGCCCCAGCGCCTATGCCGGCTGCGGCCCCACAATCCTCCCACCCGGCCCCTCGCCGCGGCAGCTGGGCAGCGGTGAGTCGGTCTGGGCGCCCGGTCGTTTAGTAGGTCTTTGGCTCTAGGCCCTGCCCTAGGTGCCAAGCTAGTTGTGATCTCTCCGTTCTGTCTGATGCCTTACAGGCTTGTCCCAGGTAGCCCTCACCATCACTGCAGGGGACACAGGATCAGAGATTAAGGGACGCCCCCCAAGGTCATACAGCTTGTTAAGGGACAGAGTTTGAGACCTAGCCAAACCCATGAGCTTCCCATGGCTCTACTTATACTGTCAAGCATCACTGTGCATAGTGCATAACTCACTGGGGGGG